AAAAAAAAAAAAAAAAAAAAAAAAAAAAAAATGATTATTGGAAAAGTTTGCCAAACCCTAAAGTTCATCTATGTAGTCAAGGCTGCTAAGAATACTTATGGAATTATAGTGAAAATTAAGGAAAGAAGAGCTGTCAAGCGTTCAGTCTGTGTTTTCATTATTGTGGTCTTCTTATTTATCTTGGTCTTATTCCTGTTCTTATTCTTGTTATACGTCTTATTTTTCTTCTCCTATTCAATCTTCTCCTTTCCTATGCTTTCTTCACGTTGCTAATTAGTGCTAGACGAAATATTGAGCAAATATTTAATATTTTTCAGCTACCCCATTCTTATCTTACGCTTTAAATTCTTCAACAATTCTGATTTATTGACTACTGGTGAGGCTATCTTTTAACAACTGCTTCTGACAGTTATCACTATTTACTACAAATTGATTAGCCAAAGAAAACAAAACTGGGTTGATTGTCCGTTCAGTAAGTGTCATTGAAATTAGTCGACCAAAAACAAAAGAAAAAAAGCCTTTTAGGTTTATTGGGAAGGGGAAGAAAAGAAAGGAAAAAAAACTATTCAAAAAAATGACTGACAAAGTTTACTGTTTGTTGCAATGCCTTTTTCTTATTGATTCTCTTTGTTTCTTTTTTCGTTTTGTTCTTTCTCCCCTTTTTTAACCTCTTTTTTATTTTTTTTGCTCAAAATTTTTGAATATAGTGGCAACAGCAGCAGTAAAAATGTTCCAATAGATAATTCCATCAAAAATTCTTCTTTATTTTTGTTACTAGATTCCAAAACAAGAAAAAAAAGCTGTTCAAAATTGGATTCATATATTTCATTGCTTAACATGTTCTGCTATTTTTTTCTTTCCTTTTTGTGAACGATAATGCTAGCAGTGAAAAAAAAGCAAAAAAGAAAAAAGAAGAGAATAAGAAAAGAAAGAAAAGGAGCCCTTTGAAAAATCAGTTTTATATAGATGACCAATCCCTGAACCTTATAGTTCACCTTGTTTTTTGTTGCCGTTGTTGTTGTTAATCAGTACATTTAGATATTTAGTTACTTTTTTTCTTCTACTTTTTACTGTAAATTAGATAGTATATTCGTTGTAGACCATCGGTATTGGTTGCCAAGCGGTTATCTTTTGTCTTCCTCTAAAAAAACTTCTTTTTATAGGCATAATAGTTGTGCTGTTCTCAAATGTGACTTTCTTTTTGAATTTCTGTCGAAAAACTGAGCAATTTTCTGAATCCAAAACTGTTTATGTAATACTATGGAAAGCGAATTTTTCTAGTCTTCTTTTTTTTCCTTTTTTTGTTTTCCTGAAACTTAGAAACGAATGAAGAGCAAATTTGTACTGTAGAGAGGATTCATTTGTAACGTTTTCTCTGTATTCGTCAACATTTTTTTTTTGAAGAACGTTTATTAAACGAACCGTTTCCTGTATTTTCAGCTTTCAACATTTTTAGCCAAAAATTTACACTTGCTGATAAAAGCAAGAGAAACTGCTTTGATTTTTTTTCCTTTGTAAGGGTGATTTCCCGTTGATGTTATTGCTGCTGCTGCTGTTAATTGTAGCTAATCACTGGAAAAGCACTAAATTTTAGACTATCATCAGCAGAAACTAGAAACACTAGAAACCATATATCGATCTTGTTATTTATAGAAATGACAGTTTAAAATATATCATATGAAATTTATAATCTGAAGAACAGTGATGAAGCCCTCCGATAAGTCAATTATGAAAACAGATTAGGAACAGTAAAAAATAGAACTTTTTTTTCTT